GCTCGACTTTCCCTTCCATTCATCGATCAACCGGGCATAGCTCGACGAGCTCCTCCAACCATACTTTCGAACTCGTCGTCGAACACATTAGCCCACCTACTCCTCGGGGATTTCGGGGGCTTCTTCTTCAACTCCTCACCCCTCTCAAACTCTATCCCATTTTTCGTGAATTTCCAACCCCCGAAAATCACGTTATCGTTCGAACTTGGTGGGCTATCTCTCGATTTTGCATCTCCATCCTTAGGCTTCTTTTTCGCCCTTTTCTTACCCGGTTTTGACTTACGACCACCTCCAACATCGATTTTCTTGCTCGAACCCTCAAGTTTCGCCTCAAGATCATCATTAACGTTCTTTCCCAACTTCACAACATTCATCTTACCTACAACACCATTTTCATTAGATAATTTAAGATTAGAGTTGAGATGTACCTCTTTGTCGATGTCCTCCACATACGAGCATTGGCCAACTTTGGGTGGAGATTCCCGGGTGTTGTTCATCGTGAAAGTAGCAATCTCTCCATGAGCCGACAGAGTGACTCGTCCCTCCTTGACGTCGATAATGGTGTTGGTCGTCGCCATGAAGGGTCGACCAAGCAAAATCGTGTGCTCCTTCCCGGTGTTCGGGAAATCTCCAACGTCAAGGACTACAAAATCAACCGGTACAACAATCGAGCCCACTTTGACCAACACATCTTCAATAATGCCCTTCGGTTCCCGTAAAGTACGATCTGCCAATTGGAGGCTCATCCGAGTTGGCTTGAGCCCTTGCAAACCTAATTGCTTGTAGATCGAGTAGGGCATGAGGTTTATACCGGCTCCCAAGTCTAGCATTCCGGTTGTAGCTTTTCCATTCCCGAATGTAATCTTCATGACAAAGGCTCCCGGGTCACATTCTTTCTGAGGTATGGTAGTCGAGGCTACCTCGGAAATCATCACCTTCTCATTATCCATGAACCTCCGCTTTTTCGAAGCTAAGTCCTTGAAAAATTGAACATATGCCGGCACGTTTTTGATAACGTCTAGTAGTGGGAGGTTCACGTTCACCTTCGAGAGCATGTCAAAAAGATCTTGAAATTGACGCTCCTTCTTTGTATCTTTCAAACGGCTCGGGAAGGGAACCGGTGGTTGGTAAGGTGCATCCGTTTTATGCAAGACCTCGCGGGTTTCTTTCTTCGAACTCTCATTCACAATTCTTTCATCAACAATGGCTTTCCCTTTCGAAACCTCAAGTTCCTCACCCGGCTCATCATTATCCTCATCTCCCACAACTTCAACAACCTCATTTTCCTCGGGTACCCCAACACGATTATCAACCGTCTTACCACTTCTCAACACCGTAATAGCATTCAAGTGCTCGGGTTGGCTCGAGAGCTTGTCTTTCATCTTGTTCCTCTGGATTTCCCCGATGGAACTCCCGAGTTGCCCCATTTGAGTCTCGAGGCATTTAAGAGAGGCTTGGATCGAAGGTACGCCCTTGACCGTTTCATGGAGAGTGGACACGGTTGAAGCAAGGCTTTGAAGATACTTCTCCATGTTGTCAATTCGAGGGTCCGAGATAGGTGCCTTAACTTCTTTTTCGGGTTCCGGTGGAGGTGGCATTGGTTGCCTCGGGACAAATC